GCCGTTCAGCCGCCTTAGTGCCGCTGCCGTGTTTGCCGCGCCTCTCGGGCACGGGGGACAGGGCCCGACAGAGTGGAGGGCTTGGAAGGGCTTCCCGTGCCGGCATCTTCATGGCCCAGGTAAAGCAGGGCTTAGTTCCGCTGTGCTGGGGCTGCTGGCGGTGGGAACCAGGCGGCCTTACCTTAGGGAGGGAGAGCTTTCATCTGCACCGGGGGGACGGGAAAGCAGTTACCGCCGGCGAGGTGCTGCCAGTGAGGAAGCCGGTTTCAGCTGTTTGGAGAGTACTATCTGTGGGTGAGCCCTGTCTTTGCAGATTGCGGTTGTGAGGAGGACTGAGAGGAGCTGTCATACACAGACGCTGAATTTCTTTACCACTTTTTGTTCCAGGGAATTTCAGAGTGATTTCTAAATATACAAATGGAGAGTATCCACAAAGTTACTACGATGATGAGAGAGGCTTTCTGTAATTGATTATCAATGCAAATTGTACAATAACTCATGTAAGCTGATGAAAAATAATACTGTGTTGTGTTGCTGGCGTTTAGTAATGTAAAAAATGAAATTATGCAAGAATAGCCTCTTTAACAGTTTGCCGGGGGGAGGATTGTCTTTGCAGGTTTGGGAGCCCAGTGTGTGTGGAAAAATCACTCATATTCAGAAGTAACACCCCTTATCCTACTGATACCGTTGCTGTCCCTGGTGGACATGATCTGCTGTTCTGTGTGCAGCTGAATGATTGTAAGTAACCTTTCTTTCCACACGTTTAATTCATAGATTACCTCTGCTTAGTGAATCTTTTTTTAAACTTACATGTTACAATTGCTACTGATTATTTGGGCTGTTACAGTTCCAGAGAGACCATAGTGAATCAGGGTCCCAATACCAAAGACAAATAAATAAAAAAAAAATCATTGTACTTAGTTTAAGGGTAGGGTCTTTGGCTAAATACAAATAGGCCTTTATCAATTGCCTATCTGTATCTGAGATACCTTACTGAGTTTGCTACACTTAGAGCAGCAAATAAGTGTTCATGTTTGAAATACACCACTGTTGTCCTTTTCAGAAAGTGCTTTCTGTTCATATCTTGGATTCTTTATTTCATATGCTTATTTTCAACTTCTTTTTCTGCTGGCAATGATTTTTCTCTAATAATCATATACCCTCATAGGGTATGCCATTATCACTTTTTTTCACTTTCTACTTTCCACATTGTACTTCATGTGACTGATTTGATGTCCAACTCTCTGGCATTCATTGCAATTCACTAGGATCTCACGTTTGAACACTTACTGTTTTCTCTTTTGAGTCTTTTGCCTGGGAGTTTTTGCTCACAGTCCCATCTACTTCTGACCTAAATCATAGAATATTTTAGGTTGGGAGGGGCTCAGGAGGTTACTTGTTCCAACAACTAGTCAAAACAGGGTCAGCTTCCTGTTACTTAGTCCTGCTTTCAGTTCTTCACAGGTGTTGCCTGAATCTTTGGCACATAGGGAAGAGCAAAGGAACAATGAGAGCCTCACAGGACACAGTACAATAAGTAGTAGTGCTACAACTTCACCCATTCCAGTTGTCAGTAGGTCTCAGAGTCAAGGTGAATTTTGGTGAGGGCTTAACCCCAGCTGAACGTGACATCAGGCTCCTGGGTATTGCAGCCTGGAACTTGGAACTAGCTGCATTTTATCCTCTTCCCACACTGCCCACAGTATCATAAAAACAGGATTAGAAGGATTCAGAATTTGTAATCGCCTCCAAAGGAAGGGTCATCTCCATCCAGACTGATTGCACCAGATTTTTCTGGCCATTTAGTATTTGGGCTCTGTATCTGTCACATCATTAGGCCCACCGAACAAGCCCTAGACATTCGATTGCCCATGTACGTTAGGTGCAGCACACCTGGGAATGACAGAATTCATTGCGCACGTGGCCTTTTCCTTTCCTGGGTTTGTTGTTAGAAGAACACCTGGGAAGGACTTTATTTGGAATCACCTGAAGGATGATAAAGTTTTCTGGTAGCAACAGCCTTCTCCCCTTTGGCCTTCCACAAGGAAATACAGAAACACTTATATTCACATCAAATGATTGTGGAAGAAACCTTTCCAGGATGGATGGTGACATGAAATTCAGGATGGTTCCATTATTGGAACAGGCTCAGGGAGGTGGTGGAGTCACCATCACTGGAAGTATTCAAAAAACGTGTAGACGTGGCACTTCAGGACATGGTTTAGTGGGCATGGTGGTGTTGAGTTGACGGTTGGACTTGATGATCTTAAAGGTCTTTTTCAACCTTAACGATTCTGTGATTCTATGAGCTACTGCTGGCACAAATATAATCAAGCCTGCTCCAGAGGGCCTCCTGGAAAAGAGCAAGTGCGCAGCCTCTGAACCTAATGAATTATCGTGGCCAGTAACAAAGAGATTGTGATGCACAAATTGACTTTACCTTGTTGAAACCATTGCTAGCAGATACCAGAGAAGTGTTCAAGTTTTACTAATACTTCTTTATTATGCTTCTGAAATTGGAGGTTTTTTCTTCCTCTGCTTGGCAGTAATGGCTCTTTCCATGGCTGTCCTCATTTTTTCCTGACTGCAGTACTCTATTTCAGTTGTATTCTCTGAAGTGTAAGCCATCCTTTGCTTTGCCCAGTCATCTTTCTTGCCTATTTTTCTGACTATTGCCATCCTTCAATTGCTTTATTTTTCTACTTTTTCATACTGTTGTTCTCCATCTGACAGCTGGTCACAACTCTGGCATTCCTCTAACCTCAATAGCTCATCACACCCTGTCTTCTCTTTCTTTTGTGCTCTCCTCTGTGGCTCGCTCTTCCTTTTGCGACTTTTCTCAGTACCACCTTTTCACTGTCTCGTGCTAAGGGTGGAGTTTCACGTATGTCTTAAACTGATTTTAGACTGTATTGATACTAAATGGAGCAGTGTGACGGCTCACCAGAACCCTAACAGTTCCTTCTGTCTAGCAATTATGTAGCTGGCTCGGTCAGGCAGTCTTAGCTGATCCAACTGACAAGTAATTCATTAAAAGGAAGAAATCAGTTCTCAGGGACAGTTGGAAGTATTGGATATTTTCAAAATACTTAAAGTACATCTAAAAGTATTCCTGTTTCACATACTAGCTCCTCAAGATAACAACTTTGTCTTTAGTTTTTGCAGGTGTTAGGAGAATATTGCTGCTATTTCTGCTTCTAAATCAGGGGAAGAACTAGTATGAATGCATTTTAAATTTACAGGAATCATTACACCCAAGCCTGTCTCCTGTTTTGGTTTTTTTTATTTCTTTATTTTTTAAAGTTTGTCTTGTTTCAGACAAATTAGATTGTCTGAAATTCTTTTTTGCGTTTTTCTACAAGATTAAATAGCCTTTAGAAGCTAGCGTGCTTTCTTGAGCAAACTACACTACGAACAAGTTATATATGTCCTTTCCTTGAAAACTTAAGCCATTTGAATATCTTAATTTTTGCTGCAGAAGGCCTTTTCTTCCAGTTTTCAGGTATATTTTGCATTATGTAATGTCATTTAGTCTGCGTTAGCAAGTATTCTGCTTTGACAATAGAAGAGTACATAAAGAACTGCATTCCAAACAAAAGAAATGGTTGTGAGTAGCACAACCACTAATGTTTTCTTTTTCAGTCTAATGCTTACACCCTCAAGTGAATGATATGAAAGCTGCTCTATTCACCTATTTTTGTGAACCTTGTGGGATCGCAATACTCCTTCAGCCTTTATCTCCTTAAAAGATTTAGTTGACTGCTTGACTAATGCTGTATTTAGATACAAAAAAGCTTTCATTTCTGCTTGCTGCTCTGTACATCTGAGGATCTGCTCTGCCTGTGAACAGAAGAATTACAGTGAGAGCTTAAGTTATTTTTTTTTCTCTTCACTCCCCGCCCACAACCATCTAGACTACCTAAATTCTTTTTGGTAGTACTGTAATCAAGGATACTGCCACTCAATCCCGTTGTAGGTATGATCTGTAGAATCCTCAAACCTTGTAAGACATTTCATTTGGATGTATTAAAAAGTTTATTGCTTGAACAAGTCCATTAGGATGAGTCTATATAAGTATGTCCTTAATAATTTTATGACTTAGTGTTTTAGCAGTAATAATTTAATACTTTGGAACATTGTAACCATACTGAATACCACTGGGTCAGGAGCGCATCACTGTGGGATACCAATAGAAAGATTGGGGGGTTTAGGATGCCTATTCCCTATTCATACTTACTTTGAGTTTTACTAACCTTAATTATTTTTAATCCATTTAATGTTGCTTTTAGTGAACTCACATATTGGTAGTGTTTTGTCATTAAAATGTCACGTGTGTCTAATTTGGGCATTTTACAGAGATTACAGCACATACTAAGGCAGCTGTCTTAAGCAGTTTTCATGCTTTTTGGAAACTCACATTTGTGTATTAACACCTATTTCCCATGAAACAGTACAAACTAGTACTCATTATATCATCCTGTTCATAGCTCATATTAGCCTGTTAGCAGTGTAACTGTGGGTTAATGGGATAAGGCACTATCTAGCTTACAGTTACCAAAGTTGTTCCTTTTAAAAATGTTGGGACAATATTACTTTTTCTTGGATCTGTCTTTTCTAGTAATTTGATACTGGCGGATATTTTTTTTTCTCTTTTCAACCTTTAGCAAAGCTGAACTATTTCCAACAGCCACAGGGTATCAAAGAATCTGATTTTTGGAAGTTCTCAGAGAAGTATGGCAAACACTCTGCCCGCCCGCCATTCTCTGCCTTTTATCGGGTGAGTTGAAAGAAACTAGCAATCAGTTTGCAGATACACTTTTACTAAAGCTGTCTGTAATAAGAACAGCTTGAAAGATTCTTATTTTTCTACCTATAATCCATATTATCTCTCAGTTCGTTTCATTCCTTATTGTGTAAATTTTCTGATTAGTTTTCTTGTATTTAAAAGTTTGGACAACCCTTTAGACAAAGCTGGGTGTACACTAAGGAGAAGTATAAATTTGCCTCTGTGCCCTGATGATGTCATCACCTTGCACTTGGCCTTAGTATTCCACAGTCATTTTGTCTGTGATTTCTCCAAATTGTCTTTTCAGGCTGGTGATCCAATCCTAATCTACTTTGATACATCATCTGTACTGAGCACGCTTAGACAGCCAGTAAAAATGGGAGCCAGTGGACTTTGTGTTGATGGAAATCCTGCCGGTTAGTAAAGGGGGAAGAATTTCCTAGGGTGGTTTGCTTCTGTTTTATCTGTTGTCATGTCTTAACTCAGGCTTCCTGGACAGTAAAAGCACAAGCTGTACTCGGATTTTTGCCAGCTTGAGCAAGAGCTGCATTACTGACCCTGCCCTCAATGCTGCCTCCTACTACCGTGACTTCACTGTGCTAAAGGTGCATGTCATATTTCTTCCTTTTGCTCAACATCTTGTTTGCTTGACTTTCCGTTGCAACTTCAGCTGACTGGAAAGCTACAGGTCATCTGGTATGTCATCTCTGATCTCCCAATTGTTATGGCCTTCTTGCTGGAAGTCCTGTTAGAAATGTCATGATCTGTGACAATTCCTCAATTCAAACTATTTTTCCAATAAATTTCAGTTATTAGCAAATTCTTAATGCATTTAAACAGGTACTTCATTGATACTTCATAGTTTTAATGGTTTAACTAGAACTCTCTCGCATTTTAAATAGACTGTTTATCAAAGTGTTTCTGTCTGTTCCATGAACTTGATCAAGCAAGCAATGCATGTTCTTAGTAAAGAATAAGGATTTGTTTTATGCAATGTTATCTCTAAAATCACACTGAAGGCCAGTTATCAATATTAGCTTTATTTACATTCATATATTGAATTCCATATAAATTTCTCCATTATTTATCCTGACAAACATTTCAAAATCACCGATTCATTGTTCAGGGTTCATCATGCTGGTCTTACTGAGTGTTAACATGTAAATATCTCCTCTCATCTTCTGGAGTTTCTCTGGTGTTCCAAGATAAAATGGCAGTGTAAACATTAACACCTTACTAAGGCTTATGACTCAGTTTACCCTTATATTGGAAATCTAAATCTACATAACTGTAGTAGAGAGTCTTCTACTGATCAGATTTAACTCATGTTTTCCAGGCTTGCTTTGTCACTGTGGCCAAAATTTTATTTTTCCTTAAATGGAAGCTGAAGTTTCTAATTACTTGATTTCCAGAAGGGGGAGCTCCAGGAATCATTCAAAGATGATGAAGTATCTGCATTCGACAGGTCATAAGTGGGGCCAAGAGTAAAATTTGTCTTCTGATGTTCTAAGAATGCTTTCTGCGGATTATGTCAGTGATTTCTAGATCATAAATTGATGACAAGTTTTACACATCTGGAATAAACAAAGTAATTTTTGTCAATATAATATGTAGCCTCTGTTTAGTGATGGTTTCCTAACTTTAGGCACTTGCAAACCCAGCAAATTGGTTGGTTTTTTGGTGTTGTATGTTGGTTTGTTTGTTTTCCTCAGGTCCCAATTAATGACACCATTGTGCAGTCCATGAAGGTCAGTCCTTATTTCCGATGCAAATAATTTCTGCTTCTGAAATAAAACATATCTGAAATCTTGGGCATTCATAGTAATGCCCATGGGTTGGGAACTTGGGAGAATGGGAATGTTCTGTGTCTGAGACAAGATTTTTTGGACAAAAGTGTGACATTGTAGAAATAAAAATAGGGATATAAGGAAATACGTACTTTTAAATGAACAGGCGTAGATAGGGGTGGGGTCGGGGAGGCAGCTTGTTTTCTTAGAAAAAAATGGGCATCTGGAGCAGGGTGATGTGTCCACAAATCACAGCTGGAGCAGGAAGGTAAATCGGACCTGGGTGGAAAAGCAGCGGAAAAGAGTAAGAAAGGCGCGCTGCTCTTGAAGAATTGCTAGTCGTTAATATGCTTACTATCTGCAGGTAAAGGTCACTGCAGTCGCACCGCCTGGAGCTCCCCACATGAAAGACAACACATGTAACAGCGTTGTCTCTGAGGTACCTGAATCTTCTTTCCTTTGGGCAGCTCAACGCTAGCTTAAAGTCATTGCCCTATTGCCTGCCTTTGCCTCTGATTCTTCTCTGAATTGGACTTTCAGGTGATCTACGAGATAGAATTCAGTGGCACACATGGGATACAGAGTGTTTCTGTCCGGTTCAAAGTGAGCAACATCTCTGGGAACTTGGGATCCTCTCTGCAGCAGCGCTTCACACTGCAGTTCTGGGTCAGTGCCGGTATCCTCCCTGGCTCTTGCCAAGTTTGTAGTTTGTGACCCGCTTTTGTACAGATGAGATGTGAAAAGATTAGAGGCGTGTCACTGTGGTATGGTAGTACCAGGACCCTGGGGTACAGCTGGTGGTCAAATGAAGAAGGGGACACTGGTCTGGTCTCAAGTAAACCACATTAGTAGAAAAATTCAAGCTCGGTGCAAGCATGCATTCTTGCACTCCACAAGTTTGAAGGGGCTGATTATTTTTGTCTGACTATTTTTTGCTGTTGTTTTGATTTGGTTTTTGTTGGTGCGGGTAGAAGGAGAGAGGATGAGATCAGGGTCACCAGCATGGTCTTGCAAAGGAAAGGGTTGTATCTGAGGTGTTCAGTGTTTGTGAACAAGGTTGCTACATTTAGTCCAGGTGCTTATTTAACTTTGCAAGAAAAAAACGAGTTTTTTGCAAGCAAGAAAACAAGTTATTTTGGAGGGGGTGGAAATCTGGGAAATACTAATGTGTGTTGAAGTTCTTAGAAACCTTGCCCCATAGAGGCAATGTAAAGTGGGGCAGGTGGTGATGTTGGGGTTGATAAGCGTGCAGTGCAACCTTGTTGAAGTTATCCCTAGAGGCTCTTCCTATAAAACAATTTAGAAGTGGAATCTGCCACTCAGAATTGAGGTCAAGGCAGGGTTTGTTCTGCAGATGATCTGTAGAATTGCCCAGACTGATATATTCACTTCCTTAGAGACAAATGCTGAGCCATAGGAATTCATTATCTCAAGAACTGTCCTGGTAGTATTCACATTTCAGGGTACTGATATACAGGTTTTTACCCCCTGGACTACAGATGAACTTGCCAGGTAAGAAAGAGGATTTGGAAACAAATAATGAAGGTTTTAGTAGTAATATTCAGTCATTCAAAAATGGGTTACATTTACATTTTTGAGACTGTAAATTTGATCTTCTGAGATGAATGGATCTCATCAGTGCCAATGTTTTCCCCTTTCTTCTTTTTTCCCTTTGCCTCTTTGTAGACCAGGACTCTTCCTCATATGTTGCCTAGAAGTGGAAACCCTGGCTATATCACTGGAGCACCACTGTTGATTGCAAACAATGGTGCCATGCAGCATGTATCCTTTTTCTGCTATCGAGTTTTGTTTATCACTGAGTTTATTGACTTCTGGTACTCTACTGTCTGGACTTTTGAGATTCTAGCTTTGCCTGTAAGGGCATACCTCAGTATTACATTGCAGCCATCAGCAAGTCTTTCAGTCACAACTGAATTGTAGTTCTGTGATAGGGATAAGGAGGATTGTTAAATACAAGTTGGGTGTCCTGTATTGTCTGTTTACACTTTTGTTTGGCTTCCTGATGTGCATTCTGTCAGATGAGCATTTTACAGAGCGAAAGTGATGGAAGTTGCTCACAATTCCTCAGACACACAGTACAATTTGGAAGAAATATGAGGTCAGGCTGCAAGCTCAGGTAACAACACACTCTGCGGTCACCCTTCCTGGCACATGTAGAAGGTGTGGACTCACTTAGCACATTCTTCCATAGTCTCTCACACACTGCTGTGGAGCCTAGGTCCTTCCCTGAGGTCACCAATGGGTCTCTACGGATGTGTTGTATACTCCTAAGAGGACTTGAATATCAGAGAGATGGTGGACCTCTAGAACAATCTGAACACTGTGAAGGTCTTCTGGGACATTTTGAGGTTGTCTGACAACAACAAGAGTAGAGTTTGCATTTGAGAAGTGACTTATAATGGAACCTTAAAAAGTGATTGTTTTGATGATTTGGATCATTCTTTTGCTGGTGACAGGGCAGGTATACCACCACCGATGTGATAAGATGGCTAAAGAGCTGTCCGTTTTCCTTATCATGCATTACCCTTCCATGCTTTTCTTCTCCCTTCTCATTGCAGAAAGGATTGAAACTGCATCCATTTAACACCAATACTTCCATAATGATCCTGTTGACTCATTACAAGAGCAGAAGAAATACTCATTACAAAGGAAGGGTGTTGATAGAAGGGTTTTTTTTTTTCTGTTCCAGAAATCACTTTGTCAAAGCTGTTATTTTCTTGTTTCCAGCCTATCCCCAATACTGGAAGAAAGTAACTGTAGTTACATCCAACAGAAGTTATACAAGGCTCTTCAGGGGATGAACAGAGCAGAGGACCTTGCTATAACTGGCAGTGCTCATTCAACCCAGGCAGAAGCATGGATGACCATTCTGATTCAGAACTGCAGTGTGCAGGTAATATGAATGCAAAAAGACCAGATGTGAATATTTTTCCTTTCATATCTTTGTATTGCCTTGGGGAAGCGTGGGCATGGGGCAAAAAGAAACAGTTTGTTCATCTGGGCTTACTTTCTTTGTGTGATGATCCACTGACTCTCAGGGGCCTTAATGCCTGTAAGCAGTCACTCTTCTTATGGTTCATATTATTAGGATACTTACTAAACTAAACAAAAAAACCCTGACAGATTTAATATCTCTTGAATCCTGTTCCTGCTATTTAAATGGGCAAAAAGAGTTTAATACTGAATCCAGTGTTGTATTACCTTCTGACAGCCTTCTAGAACTAATACTATCTGGTTACTTCCTATTAATTTGATGCTTTTATTATTATCGTCCTTTCTGATTTTCCAGTTTCTGAGGATATTTATATGTTACCTAATAAGGGTAAAAGTTTGCCATCCAAATACTTATGGAGGAGGGAAATTCTATTTTAATAATTATTAATCTGGCAGGAGATGGCCTAGTAGAAATGCAAGTGGTAGAGCTGAGACAAATTCTGTTTGGAAATGAGATGACAATAAGATGGATATAGCTGTAAAATGGGTGGTTGACCTGACCAGAACTTATAGGGTTAGTGCTGAAGTGACTGATTCAGGTTCTGTGACCTGTACTATCCAAAATATTAGACTTTGACCATAATGGTCCTTTTTCACCTTTAAAATACTATATTCAGATGTTTGGGGTACATTTTATTTTCAGGCTGTGAATTGCACTTCCTGTTGCACGGTTCCTGTGACCCTGGAGATACAGATATTGTGGACTAAGGTGGGCCTCCTGTCCAACCCACAAGCTCAAATACTGGGTGCACGGTACTTTTATCAGTGTCACCCTCTGAAGGTATGGAATTTAAAAACCCTTCCTCATACACAGAGGTGATTAAATGGGGTTCACGGGTTATTTAAGAACCAAGGAATCAAATGGTCTTGATATTACTGAGTTGAGATTTACTGAACTTTAGCACTGGTCTGGCTGCAATGGCAACAGTTTGTATTTAACAGCTCCATAGAGGAAAGTGGTTTTATGGTCTTGGCAGTTATGTCCTCAATCAGTTGTACACCTGGAAAACGTACCTTCTTTCCAACTTCAAACCAACTTCTACCACTTAAGGACTCAAACTTTAAACTTTTAATTATGCTCAGTATAAAGTTTTAGTTACAAACATTCAATAACTACATGTTTATCTAGTTGTCTCTTAAAGCCTTGATATGGAATTTGAGTTGATTTCTATTTCGCAGACTCGACAGCATGCTGATAGTCTGTGCAAGAAGATATTTCTATTCCTCTAGGCATTCTGAAATCACCAACAGGTAGCTGAGGAAGAGACTAATGCTGATGGCAGCACATTTGAAGAATTAGGGGGAAAGGTTGTAAGCCAGAAAGCAGGTTTCTAAAAGATGATGATGTGATGGAAACATTCAAGGTCAGGTTGGACGGGGCTCTGAGCAACCTGATCTAGTAGAAGATGTCCCTGCTCATTGCAGAGGGGTTGGACTAGATGATGTTTAAAGGTCTCTTCCAACCCAAACTATAGGAAGCTGGAGCTAACAGGTCTGCAAATGAGAATTAATAGTCTTTTTCAAGCGTGTGTCAGTGGATCCCATTTTGGTGCAAGGCTGGATTCCTGACATCACAAAGTCTTTTGGGCAGCAGATGTATTTCAAGGCTTATACTTCTCTGCAAGGGCTTCAGGGGGAGCAGCTGACACCTGCCCATGGCGTTCTCATGGCAGTGAGGTATGACATGGCAAGTGTCTGTCTGATCTGTTATTACTCTTTGAACTTCAGACTCAATCTAAATGAGACTTTACATCCATTGTTTGGATGTGTCTCATGGTACCTCTTTGTCCTCCCTTCTTGCAACATATGTGAAAAGGACATGATAGGAAAATGTTCACCTTGTAAAACACGTGTTGCCCTGAGGCAAACTGACACCCCCACCGCTTGAAGATATTTTCTAAACCTGAGCTGTTACACGGCTCCATTAACAAAACTTCTGTCTGAGGAGGCAGACTTTACATTCCTAGCAAAAGTGCAGGGTGCATATCCCTCAGTAAGGATTAGCCAATCAAGAACTATGAGGTTCGGATTTCATCAGTATGAGCAACTGACGCTAATTACTTTAGAGCTGTAAGGTATATTGCAAAGCAAATGATAAGAAAACAACTTTCTAGCAGCAAGAAAGAAACACACCATTAAAATCAGTACCGACTTCATCAGTGGCAATCCACAAATTAGAGTTGTTAGTAAAGGCATTTTAACAAAGGTACCAGTCAGTACTGTACCCAGCAGTTAAGAATTGCAGCCATTTGTAAGCATACCAATGTGTGCTGTATATTGCTTTAGTTTTAAATTATGTCACTTCCCAGTTTTAGCCTACACATTCTCTATCTGGGAATTATCTGTTCCTTAAGAGAAAACCTTTTCCATTAGACCACACTGTGTCACTAGTTGGGAGTTGCCTTAGTGACTGACCAGAAAACACAGAACCCAGGAAAGACATCCCAGGTTCTACACCCATCCACAATATCTGGTCACTTGTATTTGGACTTCATGAAAATGCAAGACATTCTTAAATGATGTAGAGCTGTACAGGAGCATGCTGGAAGTTGCTTGTGGCTGCCTTCTCCCAGCTGTTGAGGAGGGATTGTGCATGTTTTTTTCTCCCCGCTAATCTCTCTGATTTTAAGGCAGATTTTGAAGGTCCGGACACAAAGCCAGAATTATTTTGAGGCTTCTTGTTGACTAAGGCGATTGTGCCTACTGTGTGTTTACTCATTGATAGGAGAACTTACGTCCATCATGAGTGAAGGGGAAATTGTGATTGTAACTGCTCAGCAGTGGTAATTTGTGACTGAGGAATGATCTAGCACAGAGGCCAAGGCAGCCCAGCTGCAAGAAGGGGTTAAACTGGCTGGAAGCAGAAATGCAGGAGACAGACTCCTTGCAAGGGAGTGAAGTTTCCCTTGGTGATAAGAAGCAGTCTCAGCATTGCCTTGTAGCCATCCTGGAATGGGAGTGCTCAGGGGCCACCTTTGGGCAGCAAAGCTGGGCTGGGGGATGGACCATGAGGTTCCCCATGCAGACGCTTTTGGGATTGGTGCAGGTGCAAGTGTATATAAGGAATCTGCTCATGAGGCATCTTTGCAGACTCCATGTAGAACCGTGTATTGCGGTAGGACTCTGCCCAATGCATTGTTCATTAAATTTTAAATTTAAATTTAAAATTTAAATGAGCCCAAGCTAGCCATAAAACTCCACATAGCTCAAGGAGCAAGTGTGTTAGTTGTCTTTCTTACAGCATTCTGTTGAAACAGAAAGGAACTGAGGCCTTAGAAGTTCAGTCCCTGTGCCTTCTTTACCAACAGACCTACCAATCTGTCTCCTTTCTGAAACAATATCCTAAAATGTGAGAAATAAATTCATTGTTGCATTGGATCCCTGCTTTATTTTATTGGTATTTTATTGAAAGGTTATAATCTTGTGGCAGTCCTGTCTGTTTCTGGCAGCAATCACCTGTTCAAAGGGCCAGGTGATCTTATCTTCCATAAAAGATACCATTTTATAAAAAACCAAGCTAGCTTTGCTTCTGCTGTTACTACCAGCTAGTTGATATGTGTTTCCTCTGAATAGGAAGCTTACTCTAGCAGAGCTTGAATCACTGCTTCCGTTCTGGACATCTGCAACATATGATGCACAATAGCTACTGATCTTTCCTGAGACCTGTGCCCTTGATTTACCTGCTAAGTATCAATTTTGGGAAAGAGGAGTTACTCCACTAAAAAATATATCTGGAACACTTAACTCCTACCATCCTACAGACATCTAGCATGCCAGTCATCTACAGTCTCCATTAGCAAAGAGAGATGCATCTTTTATACAACGTTTGCTAAACTCTTTGTGCTTTCCTTCTTGTTACAGTTCCTAAGCACAAGCACAGTACCTTTGACAACTGTCGTTACCTTCACTGACATGACAGAATGGCCAGAACCTCCACGAGGCCAGCCACAAATGCACTGGAAACTCCCATTTGACATCTTTTACCCATTCAAGGTGGCACTGAAGTTGGAAAGAAGTTATCAAGGTGATCTGGCTGGCTATTTTTTCTTGATTCTAATAATATCTAGTATTCTCTGCTTTTGAAAAGTCAGATAGACTGGGCCTGTACCTAAAGTTCGTTAAGTGAATTGACACATTCAGAATATGATCCAGATCAGAGACTTTTCTCCTCAGGTTCTTATACTGTGCCTACGATATCTATGTGCCTTCTGTTCTTGGATTAAGCCACATGACTAGCTTCTCTCCTGTGACCTCTCATGCCCCTGTTCTCCATATGTACCATCTGTGAACCTCACTGCAGTGAAACACTTGAGAGATAGAGGGATCGAGACGTTGCATTAATGAGGAACAAGGAGGAGAACGTTAAAATGAATATTCCGTGCTCCCAGAAACCAAGCAGTATGGAGAGAGGAGCGAAGTTCAATCCAAGCGTTTTGGCATCTTCCTGTTGGAGAAGCACCTGCTTTTTCTACATGGAACTAATATTTAAAATACAGGAGCCCTCCCAGGTGGCCTGAATTATTACTTTATGAGTAGACATGTCTGCCAGTCACCTTTAACCTGCCCTTGCTACATGACAACCGTGCCTCTGTGACAGTTTTTATTTCTTATTTTTCTATCTTTTCAAATACAGCTACTCAGTTGAAATTTTCATGTTTTAATCGCTGTTTGATCACATTAGCAATAGTGTCACACAAAGAAAAGTAATTGTACATGTCTGATCCTCTGAAATATAATTGATTTTTAGTTGTTTGTCAAGACAGCTTCCTTCCTGACTTTTTTTTTTTTTTTCTCTGAAGAACCAGACCTGAATATGTTTTTTCCTACACAAGAAACATTCTCTTGTGCTTCCAAATAGGAACTGGACTGATAATGATAGACTGAAATTCTAGGTGGCACATCAGCAAGAGTTGTGAACAGTCCTAAAGAAAATAATCAATTATTTTAGGAAGAATTTGTAGATGTATTATGAGACTGAAACTTACCTCAATAGCTTACCTCTGGCTCAGTCTCTGGGACCAGGATGTAAGTTTATTGTGTTTGAAGTTGAAGGTGATCTTCAGATTATGTAGTCTGCCCCACTGCATCACACAGGCTAAGGAAAGGTCCTCAATCATTCCATGAAGTTGTTGGATGACAGTATATTTTTTTAGCAAAGGATTTATTATTTATCTTAAATTCTTCACATGATGGAAAAATCTGTCCTATCTAATGTCAAGGACACCAGTGAAATCAATAATGGGAAAGAAAATCAGAGAAATCTAGCCTACCTTTAACAAAATGCATTTGTATGTGTACTGTGTATAGCAGCTTTGTTGCTCTTCCTCATTACAAACTTAAGAGTGCAAAAATAAACTGAAAAACTTGTAATTAGTCAGGATATCAAAGGAGATAGCCTTTGTGGTGGGTTGACCTTGGCTGGATGCCAGGTGCCACCAAGCCACTCTATCACTGCCCTCCTCAGCAGGACAGGGGGGAGAAATTAGAATGGAAAGAAAAAAAATAACCAAACACGTGCGTCAAGATAAAGGCAGTTTAATAGCAGAAAGCAAAGGCCACGCATGGAAGCAAAAGAAAATGGAAGGTTTACTCTCTACTTTCCCATCAGCGGGTGATGTTCAGCCACTTCCCGGGAAGCAGGGCTTCAGTAGGTGTAGCGGTTGCTCAGGAAGATAGACATCGGAAAACAAATGCCCCCCACTCCTCCTCCTGTCTCTTAGCTTTTATTGCTGAGCTGACGTCATATGGTATGGAATATCCCTTTGGCCAGTTTGGGCCAGCTGTCCTGGCTGTGTCCCCTCCCAAGATCTTGCCCACCCCCAGCCTACTGGTGGGGGGAATGTTGGAGAGACAGCCTTGATGCTGTGCGAGCACAGCCCAGCAGTAGCCAAAACCCTGGTGGGTTATCAACACTGTTCTAGTGACCAGTACAAAGCACAGCACTATGAGGGCTGCTGTGGGGAAAATTAACTCCATCTCATCCAGACCCAATACACCTGACTAAAACAAAACCACAACCTATCTAAAACGTGCAGATTATGGGGTAACTTCACATATTTAGCTTTCCGATGGCTTGCGTGGTTTATTAGCTTGGAAAGAATTCCCTGCAAGTGTCTGCTGCTTTCATTGGTTCTGATTCTGGGGCTGCCCGTGAAAGCCAGTCTGAACACATGTGCATTCCAGTGATATATATGGCTGGTGGTACCAGTAGAGCAATAAGCTTTGATTTTAGATAGATGTAGCTTCTCAACTGTACCTTTTTTGCAAAGCTTTTAGCAAAACACATAGCGTGTCACATGTCCTCTCATGCTGCTAATTTGTGGAATCAGGAAATTAATTCAGAGGTGACAGTAACTGAATTGAACAACGGGTTAGTTGGAGAAACTTGCCAGATGTCACATTGCCAGGTGTGTGGCTCAAATGAAAAGGATCTGGCATCTCCGTTCTCCACATTATTGAGATAATTCAATTAGGTGACTCCAGAGATTCTTTTTATTCTATGAACTGCAAATAACGTGGAAGTGCTGTAAGGATGCATCACCTTACTATTGTAATTCTCTTCTCGTATCCCTAACCTCCAAGGTGTCATATTTTCTAGCACATATTTGGCTGCTCTGACATTTCCTCATTGCAGGAAATGGAGCTGGAGCGAGCCTTCTCCATAACCTGGTCTAGCCTGACCTAAGGCATGCTCAATTCTAGCTATGCCATAATACATGGATGTGGGTTTAGAGTCTGCAGTTTCCTATGACAGTTTATTTCAGTGTCTACTTTGTCATGTTATGTTTTTCCCCACTATTTGAACTTAAATGGTCTCTGTTGCAATTGCGTTACCAGGCAACAGTATGACAATGTCACACACAAGGCAGACTCGTACGTCAGATGTACAGAATGGGATATTTATACTCCATGTCAAAGGGCTGAGACAACACTGCGTAATTTCTCTGCTGCCAGCACTCTGTCTGGAACCATCTTTCCAACGTGTCCTGTTTTGGGGCAGTGAGTCTACTTCTACTCCGTCCAAGTGAAAGATGCAGTTTTGGATTACAAAGTAGGAGCAGAGTTACGAAAAGTTAATAGAGTGCATTGCTGGTAGCAGTGTCAATTAGGCTGCCCACCCAGCTGTCACTTAGCTCTCCCCCTGGGGTTGTCAGGAGGTTGTCATACTGGAGGCGAGCAGCAGTGACTGCAGTGACTTCTCATTCTTGCTGGCTGAGCGAGCAGCACTTTGGAGTAGCACTCCTAGCTTTCGTCACAGATTCCTCCCCCGACCCAGCAAACAGAAATAGTGAGAATGTGCACTTCTGAAATTAAGTATTCTGAGATCATTCTCCCCTTCTTTAACAGAAGAACATACCTAAAATGCCAGGAAAAAGCTAAAGACGACATACTAAAAATTTCCATAAGCTCCTTAGTGTGCTTCCACTTTCTTCAGCCACTAAGTACGTGAACCACTGCTAAATTTCTTTGCCAAGTTTTAGCCGCTGTTCATCGCCGTAGGGTTTGTAGCGAAAGCAGAGGAGCGGGCGACAGCCCTG